AAATCTCAGGCAATGGGCTAAATTCCCCAGCTGCAGAACAATTTCAATCTTCTTCCTCATCCAGGTCCTAGCAGACCCAGAACGTTACTACCACTATCTGCCAGATTAGTTTCCAGAACGCAGTGTTGCAAACACATCAAGAAGAAAAAAATCTTTCAGGCTATTTGATCGCAGTCAAAAGCAGAGTGCCATGAAGACTTTTGCATACCATGCTTTTTGGGAACAGTGGCCAGTGTTTTGAGCTTTGCTGTGCTTGGTTTGGAGTTACACCTACCTGAGAACCATTAGCTGCCTGACTTCCAGGCACAGCTAGTAACAGAGTTTGGGGGCTGCAGTTGTAAGGTGTTTTGAAAAAGTCTGAACAGCTACTAAAGTCAACTGGAGCTGAGACTCACCTATAGTCTGAATAATATGTTTATCTTCACCATACTTCTCCATTTACCTACCTGCCAGAGTGACTGTGAGTAAGTCTGATATCCTTCACTAGCCTTAAAGCCTTGACTATCACACTATGCTATTGTCTACAAACTGCAACTTAAGCAGTGTTTTATTACATGACTTTTGTCCATCTTTTTATTCAGTTTACCTAATGCCTAGAGAAATCGGCCCATGACTCAGGCTTCTAATTACTGCTGTGTAATGAAAAACATTCATGTGGAGCAGTCCTATATAGAGAGAACATCACTGGAGAAGCCTTGGTTGATGGAGGTAGCAGATATGTACTGTTAATGAGTTTTACAGTACCAACTACTTTTGTGTATTGCAAATGGTTTCTCATGTGTAACTTTACTTTATAGCCCTTAACCAATGCCAGCTGGAAGCCAAAGATAAGCTACTGAACCAGTTAACAAAGGTCCCCAGGAAGCAGGCAGAGTACAGGGCTCTGTCTGGAGCCCTTTAACTACTGTAACTTGATGCAAAATCCTTGGGGACCACAGGCAGTTTTACAAGCTAAATGAATCTACACTTTCTCATCAATTGTGTCAGCAAATGCAAAGTAGCTCACAGGGGAAGTGAACTCACTTCTTGCTGGTATTATCTGAGTTACCAAGGTACCACTTTCCTCCTCCCTGGCCCTGGGTTTTGGGGGTAAATCATCCATCTCTTTTTGAATCCATGTATTTTCACTGTAGGGACAGAAGCAAAGATTGCCCATTAAAAAGGACAGAAACAATTCAAGAAATAGTTTGTAAACACCACTTCTGAGTATGCCTTGTCTCTTTTAAAAAAGTCTCATGGGAAAAATATTGCCTCCTCCGCAGGAAGAGAGCAGGACACCTGACAGCGGTGGGACCTTGCTGTACAAGGGGAGAACACGCTGGGAATCCGCTCACGCAGAAATTCTACAGACTGTATGTAAGGCAGCAAGGGAAGGGGGACATTAAAGGAGGTAAACAAAAGAGAACGACAACAAAATAAAAGGACCATCATATCAATGACTTCAACTCTACCTGTCAAAAAGATGGGTCTCCTACTGTAGCACTGAGTCTGAGGTAGCCACAGCACAGCTCTACTGCTGTTCATGGAGATGGGTTGAAAAAACCCCAAACTTTTGCTTTTATTTCACCCCACACAAAGTACACAAAACAATCAGGCAGGGTATGAACCAGACAAAAATTTCCCTATGAGCAATGAACTTAATCCAGCAATCTGTTATCAAGAATCAGAGAATAATTTGCAACACAAAACAGAGTTTATTTGGTTCCATCTCCCTGACCCCAACTATTAACCTCAGGCACCTGGGTCTAATTAAACTCTCAAACTCAAGCAGCTTTCATTGGTTTTACCAAGACCTATAGACAGTTGAGTCCCAGTCCGAATGTTCAGCTTTCCAACAGTCCCACAGGATCATTGTCACTGAGAAAGCACTTCTCAGCTTCTTAGGATAGAGTGACATCTTGTGGTTTCTTCTTTTGTCCATCATTGAAAAATAAAAGCCACAAAAGCTTTGACTAAATTGTTTTTTGGTTCTGGTATAACTCTAAGTTCTTATTTGTTTGAGTAATATCATATACTTGATTTACAGAAAGCAATTGTTTTTGGTTTTTTGTTTTGGTTTTTTTTTAAAGTCAGTCTAGCTCCCATTAAGAAGTACAGGTGGTGGTGTCCAAAACATCATCTTACTCTGCCATCATCAAGGCTTTGGGGAGCATAATGAATTAGTGCTTGAAATATTCTAACTCATACAACATGACAAATTTTTGTTTGAATGTAGTCCTAATCTGGAAAAATTGTTTGGTGCTCATGGTCATGTAAAAGTGGGATTTTCCTATTTAACTCAGCCAGTCTCCAGTGGCAGCACCACTACTAAACAGATCTGGAGGGAAATCAGTCTTTCCAGATGCAGCTCTGAAAAACATTTCCACCTGGACTCCAGTAGATGCATGCAAGACAGACAGAGGATGACAACGTTAGGGAACTGCATCTCACATTCAAACTCCATCGGCATCACAGAAGGATCTCAGTAGACACTGTCACATCATGGGGCACTTACACAGTACAACTATAGAAGTTTCAGTAATTTATTTTCTGATATAGCCTCCAACACAAAATACAGTTTTTAATTTTCTTAAAGACTGTACACCTAAACTCACATACGAGCCACTACTTGACAAATTCCTCTTACCCAAAAAAATCCAAACAAAGATAAAATTATTTTGCTAGCTTTGTCTCAAAAAAGCAATAGTATCTTTAAAAAGAACATTATACAAAATCTAGATTAAAAACCACAATGGAATAGTACTCATATACCTCAATAAATCAGTAACAATACTTAAGGTATTATCGCTACTAAAAACCAGTATTGTTTGAGAGCTGTTCTCATGGCCTACAACTAAGAAACACCTTTGCATAATGTGATAATAAATCAATTCATGTTGAAAACCAGATAGTTCTCAATTTTCAAGAAACATAAATAGCTATTTTGCATCTGTAAGGACTACCACAGTATCAAGCAAAACAACTAGTGTTTGCACTTCTGTTTCTGCTGGTTTTCCTACAAGCCCATTGAGGCACTTCTCAGAATCAGATCTGGAAGATGTGATTCTGCATCATTCCACTTCACGTCTATGCTCAGTCCAGCTGCTAGGAAACTCTGTGCACTTGCCTGATATCCTCTATGAATACTTCTGACTGGCATCTGTCCTTCCATAATTCCATAGCTCTACTTCAAATCTACCTTCAGTCCTTTCCTTGTTAAGGAGCACCTACGCTGCAGGGAACTAGTGCAAAGAAAACACAAAATTGGTTAGGAAGAACTTTCTACGGACTGAAAATAAAGATGATTGAGGGTTGTCACCTGCTTTTGCATGTCTTTCCAAATCAGAGTGAACATCTCAAAAACTAGCCTGAAAAAAAATGTAGTAGCTTAAAAATCAGGATCCTGTAAGGTCAAAACCACAAGAGATCCTTAGCATTTGGGTCACCTTTACAGACATTAGGTCATGTTCATAGAATCATTTAAACATGAAGAACCAGCCCTTGCGTAACTCCATGTCAAAGGAGCTGGTTCTACCTGCAGTAAAACTAGTTGTATCTATTGGTAAAAGTAGTCCCTGCTCCTTCTTAGAGGCGCTCCCTTTTTTTCCCCCTCCCAAGCATAACACTTTCAGCTATACAAACCTAAAATTGTAATTTTTGTCTAAATTTCAATACAAAAACTGCCTCACCAAGTCCAGACTCTCTCAATTTTTCTTCTGTGCAATAGAACTAAACAATTCAAGGAGGCAGGGCTAGAAATGTGTTCAAATGCCCTTTCTCCGAGGAAGTATAACCAGCCTCCACAGAGAACATCCATCACTTCACAGCTTGACCTGTGTGATATGTACCAGCAGTATAAAAAAGTGAACAATGTGTCAAATTTTGGAAGTTCTCCTTCCATGAATAATCTTGTGAGCAATATCTATGCTTTTCTGCAGTGAATGTATGCCAGAGAAGCCTATAACTACAAAGTTCAGCCAATCCACATTTGTTCTCATAGAATTCAAAAGACAGAACTCCTACTGACTGAGAAGAAAACCACTCATTATCCAAAAGTTTGTATTTATGATCTGTTTCAAAGGAGCTCCTCCCTTCTTTTCTTCTATTCACTCTTACCTTTTTAATAACTTCTGTTCTTTTTGTATTTTGCACAATGAGGGAGGAAATAATTATATGCTTCTCTGGTGACAACTGGTACTTCTCCTCTTCTTGCAAATGGAAACAGCAACTAATTTCCCTGCTAATATTTACTTGTGGTATGCGTCATTCTCCTCTTTGTCAGCTTATTTGCAATAAAAGGTAGGGAATAAAAAGGATTATATTGTTCCTTTAGACATTTATTTATGAATAGAACATTTTTAGACACTTAAAATTAAGGGTGTGGTGGTTTTTTTTTTTGGTTTTTTTTGTTTTTTTTTTGGGGGTTTTTTTTGTACTTTGAGAAAGATCATTCTAGATCCCTGCAGCGAGATACTGCAAAGCCTAGGATAAAATAGAACAACTACTTTAGGGGAGAAAAATATGTCCACACGAATGATGTTACTATTCCACTAATTTACTTCAGCCACATACATAGCTATTCTACACTGACTAGTCTTAAATATTCATGCGATCAAATTTTATTGGCATCAACAGTTATGGAAGGTGAATTGCAGAGTCACATGCAGAAGCACTCATAAAAGCAACATTTTAGAATCACATGTGGGATAGTTCACACAAAGTCTACCACAGTTATCTGAACAGATTAAAATCCACTAGGCTTAATTTGTTCCATTAACTTCGATGAGACAGCGTATCACAGTCTGTTTACTACTTTTACATCAACAGGAAGAGATAAAAATTTCCAGATGTAGATCTTCAACTCTATAAATTATCAAGGTTTGCCATTTGCATTATTCAGAGCTGCACACATTCCGTTCACTCCTGTCTCATTGATCAAGTCAGTCATTGGACTGTAAAAAAATGATGAATCCACGACTTGCAAGGTTTTTTGCTTTACAATTCACTAGAACAAGAAGCAGTTGTTGACACGTACACAATTTTATTTTAAGGACACAGCAATCACAATGACAGAAACAGAACCATTACTTTAATACTGTAAGCTTTCCTCTGGAAACTGCCTTGCACACAGTTAGGTCTGAAAGCATTTTAAACAATATCTTGGGGGGAAAACACAGCAAACCTTAAATATATTAACTTCAAACTTTATGTGCTTATCTCTTCTTTTTGGTAGCTGATGGCAGTTAAAGCTCTTCAAAGTCATGGCCACTTGTATTCATTGCTTCAGGGTGCATTACCCTTCCCATGAATAACACTGTACCTGTGGAAAAAGCAGGAAGGGAAGGAAAGATGTCAGAACCAAGAGGAAAAGTTGAGGTTATAAGATGAAAAATACTGATAATAAAATTGTGCACCACATACTTTAGAACTTTACAGGAAAGTATGTCTCCGAGACCTTGGTAGCCATGAAAGGCAATGGATCAATAGCCCGAGAGGAGTTCTTTGAATTCAGAACTGATACAATACAGACAAGAACAGCGAAATCCTCTGCATTTCACTGCCCTTCTGCTTATTCTAATAGCTTGATTAAAAAAACACCAGAAATCAATACAAAGGTTCACTTCCATTTCGATGGTTCTGATGAAGGCCCATTAAGTACTGCCACTGATCTCAAGTGGTCATGACAGTGCTGGTTTCTAGGCCTGGGGGCTCCAAAGGTGGCAGCTAACCTTCACTGGAGTACAAACACCTAATCAGAGCAGCCTTCATCATCGCTTCTGACCCTCGTATGTCTGACCCACTGGACAACATTCCTCAAAGAATTGAAATTGAGTCCCAGAAGCTGCCACACCGATCACTGAACGAATATTAATAGGTAGATAGTTCGAGTTCACAAATTTACTCAACATTAGTGCATGCAACCCACAACAAGGAATTCTCTATATGCATACCGCTCCACTATTGCTATTTAATCACCATTTACACTGTTCCCGTTTTATACATACACAGTTCTCAATCATGAGCACTTAGAGTATTATTGAGAATACGAGAACTCACCACAGATTTTATCAAAAGATTTCTAACTTTGTATTTCCAGACTGGTAGTGAGCTTTCAGGCTTTAACTATATTTGCTGGTGAATCCTCTTTCCACATGCAACAAGGCCACTGCAACATTAAGAATTGCCCCAAGGCTACCAAGCTTACGCTTTTCTGATTTGAACTTTCCTTTTTGAGTAATTTTGTGAATCTTGAGTAGGGAAAAGGTCAGATAACCTCCTCCATTTTTGCCTAATTATGTGTCTGCAAAAGCAGGGATACTCAGTTTCGGTGGAAAAAATAAAAATCCCTAAGAGTTGGTATCACCACAGCACACAGACCCATACGATAGTCTGTGGGTGCACCATAATATTCTGTCGCCCAGTCACATCCACATTGTTAAGACAAATTACAAATATGAAACTAAGGAATTACTTAATCATTGCCCATCTTGCTAGTGAGTGCTGTTCTCATCCCTTGCCTGCCACAGAACACTTCAAGAGCACAACAGAATTATTCATAGCTGTAATATCTGTCCATTATGCAAATCATCTGGTACCAGGAACATATCTCACTGGTCTTACTACAGCCTAGCTCTTACAGAACGCAATGATTATGGATATTCAGGGCAGTAACACTGTGTTCTCTGAAGAAAAATGTTGAATTTTTCTTCCCCAGGGTTTTTAATAACGTACTTGTGAATATTTTTCAGGATTATGTCAGATTTTGGTGTTTGTCTCGGAGAAACATTAAGGGGACATAGAAAAGGTCAGTCTTTCAGTATTAGGGATTTTAAGACAAATTAATGAGAATTCGTAACACAAGGCCAGTTCATTAATCAAAATATGTAATTTTCTTTGGTATGCTTGATGATGTACTGTGAAAAATGTGGAAAAGTCTGCAATATTCTCACCTGTTCTTCTGTTTCTGACCAAGAAGAAAAAGGGATGATCAACTATAACTTGGGGATACAACACTGCCATTCTGCTAATGGCAATCATTCCTAAAGGAAAAAGAACATATGCAACTTGTTAAATATCACTGCACATTCTCCTGCTCTTCATGAGAGATACTTGTGAAGCTCATGAGCAAACACTGAAGTCCCACACGCTCAGCACTAAGCGTCACCAAGAAATAGCATGAAAAATCTAACTGAAAATGAAAGAGACCTACAGAGTAATTGCGTGCCTATTTGTGCTTTAAGAATGATTAATAATGGAGAGTGGCACAATTTCTCAGGCTGAGGGAGCAGCTTATAAATTTTAAGATCCAGAACCTTAAGGGGAGTTATGACTTCCGCTCACTTGGGGAAAGAAAATGCATTACATTAGACAGCACTGCTGACCTGTTTTAAACAGCTCCAAGCCTGCAGTTGATAGTAAAAGGTAACCCTTAATAACCATGGAATACGCAACAACCAAGTGGGCTGATCTTTCAGCCTTTGTCTTGAGTCTTTAATTAATGCAGAGGTTGAAAGTAAGATTAACTGAGAATCAGACAGAATTAGGGTCTTTTTTTTTTTATTTGGAGATGCATGGATTTCTCCAGGACATTATTATTACTTCCCAGCGTTTCATTTACTGTTACATTTTCACTGCACTGTTAATAAAGACTCAGGCATGCCAGTAATCTCTGTCCAGTTACAATCCAACTAAGTTACTGATATTCATGACCAGGGAAGTCATTCTTCCTTTCCTCAAAGACTGATACAAGTAGAGGCAATTAGAAATAACCTAATGATACATATTGGCAACTAATGTAACTTATTTGCAGGAAAAGCATATGATGATAACCAAGAAACCAACCACCTGGCCTCCTAGCATTAATAGTGGCCAGCTATGTTTTTGCATTTAGCACTTCCCATCTTGCATCTCTGTATACAAGCTTATTTAAATGAAATTGCAATAACTCTTAGCTCCTCCTGATGTCACACAACACAACAGCTATTGTATACCAAATACCTCTGACTATCTCAATTACCAGACCAAAAACTACAAATGCTTAAGTTTCATAAGCAAAATACAAATTGCGGTCCGTATCCTCCTTACAATAAGAGGCAAAATAAGGAAGAACAGGTTTTTCACAGGTTGCTCAAAATTCTTTGTGAAACACACCACGTTAAAAAAAGAAAACTAACACTTAATTTCCAGAATTCTCTTCTTGAAAGCAGTATACTTGCTGTGCTGTGTCTTCACGCCACATGCTATTTAGCTTTCCTGGCTGTACGGCAAGTCAGTTAAAAAAAAAACAAAAACACAACACAAAATAACCAGACATTTGATTTAGTTCTGCTTTTCAGTCAAGGTACCTGAGGCAGCAGCAGCTTCTGATCCTTCCTCATTAACTTCTAGAAATGCCTTGTGAAATGCCTTTGCAAGGTAAAGTTCTTTGTTATCTGGAGAGGAAAAGGAAACATTTCAAGTAGCTCAACAATAAGATTGCAGTATTTAAAAAAAGCCCCAAACACTGCCTAAAACCCCAATGCTATTATTCACCTTCTGTACCAAGCAGGGAAAGATAAGAGCTTTTTGTGCATAGGAGTTGCGTTAAAATACCTTCTGCCAATACCTCTAATAGCACCATTTACCTAGCTTAAGCTCCTACACTACGGATATTAAAACACCTTGGCACTGCCCAGAGCACCAGTATGTCAGAGTAAAAGACGGTCCTTGAACACAAGATTTTAAGTGCAACCACTGGGAAAACAGGTTATTACATTACATGGCAAATACTTACACACAAAGAATTTTATTTCTGCATTGGCTACAATATTGATTTCCTCCAGGAAAATCAGGTATTTTCTTTCTTGTTGTCATTATACTTTAAAGAAGCTGAAGATAAATATTTATTGCATAAGCTACCACGGGACTAGGTTTTTCCAGTCTTGTTTGTTTCCCATCCTTCTTTGTCAGTATTTTTATTTCAATCCAAGCCTACTCATGCTTAAGTCAGTGGATGTTTCATTACTTTTCTTCACTGGCTAAATGATCAGACCTATTGGAATACTCAGCACCTTGCAGGAAATAAGACACGTAACACCATTTAATCTGTTTGACCAAGTTTTATCAGAAAGACATAACAAGGATTAAATATACATTTATTGTACCTGCATAAAACCCACAGTAATGACACAGCACACTGGCAGTTAAAGGAATAAAAGCTGTCTCAACAGGGAGATACACAACCATGAAAATCTAATCTAATCACCCCGGTGAGACAGCTATAGGATATCGCATTTCTGATCCTTCGCAAAACGTTCAACACCAAAACTCTAGCTGGAGGCTGACTAAAGAGGGAAAGCTTGGGAGTACTCACCTAATTGTTACCCATTTATTTTGGTTCTCGCAACAACAGCCACTAGTTCTTCTACTAATGCAAGCCAAAATCACAAGAGACAGCAGCCTAAAATGTCTCTCCCCAGCAGATCTCATTACTGCTGCACACACTCAGAACTGAAGTAAACCTCCCTATTCAGCTGCTTAACTTGAATCTCACCAACAAAAGCCGCAAATCATTGCCTTTGGGATCGTGTACAGCAAAACATATATCAGATTGCTAAACACTGTCCTAGCCGGAGGCTTCAGTTCCAAGCCTCCAGCAATGCTATCTTGAAAGCTAGGATAAAGTTTCCACCATGTTGCTTTAAGACACAGACATACAGCCTCTGCTTATCTTGAACACTAAGCACAGTTCTCACGGCTTTGGTCTCCCTGACTGTAACAGAGAGGCCACCTGAAAACACGATGTGGTTGCATTCCAACACTAACATCACCTTTAAGCCTCATGCATTACCTGTAAAAATAAATCACAAGCTACCAAAATACTACAAGCAAGGGTTAAATAGCCATTCCCTGAAGTTTCCATTCCATTATGGACCCATTAAGACTCAAGTTTTCAAAAAATGTTTTAGACCAAACACTGGATGTGCAAGAACATTTACACAGGTGATAACGGACAGATACCCAAGGCAAAAAGGGTGACAGATCCATGCACATAAGTAATTCCTGTCATGCATGCCTCATGTTATGTGTGCTGCCATTGTAAGCATGTCAGTTAACAGGATTCTTTGCAAGTGCATCGGTCAGTTCTGCAAATTCTAGCTTCCAGGCAGCTGTATTTTGCTATCCTTGCATGAGATCATTTCAAAGCTCTACTGCGCATTTGAGCTACGCAACACTCACTGAAAGAAATCAATAACTTTGCAGCCTTTACAGAAAAATACTGGATTGGAGTTCCTTATCTTAAATCCAACTAATTTTTTATTTTAACAACAGACAAAGAAATGTCCACTTAGCCTAATCGCATGGGATTTTTTTATTACAACACTTCAGCCCGCTCCTGTGACCTGTAACATTCACAACAATACTCCGTATTTTCATCCTGAATGCTTTGTTCTGCATAGTGCAATGGTGCTTATGGTTATCCAAGGTGTATTTCTGATCAGAACACTTAGCACCTTGGAAGATTGCCCTCCATCTGATAAGCGTATAGACCCTAGTTCAGACAACATAAACATTGCAAACATTTCCCATCAGGTATAATAGTAGGCTTACTTGTAAATGTATTCAGGATCTGAGTATTAAAAAAACCCCAGTATTTTGTTAACAGGAATACCAGAAGTGCCACTGCAGATGAGACCCGTATGTCCAATGAGTCTAGCACACTGCTCCAGCTATCGTATTATTGTTGCTTCAGAACAAGATCTAAGTAGCCTCACAAATGAAAAATACAACACAAATACAAAAGAAAAAGATCCTCTCACCCAGCATGTGCCTTATACCCTAAACCAAGTTTCTAATCCACAGAGTACATAGAATGCCTTTATTCAATGTAGTACAGATAGTTTTGATTCCTCCGAAGCAATTTTTAATCCTACCAATCTGATGACCTGAAGGAATACCCAAAGATCTCTGTGGTTAAATTTTCCCAAAGAGAAGTACTTTCTATTTGATTTCAATGCATTGTCTTTCATTTCCTTGGATATCTCTGTCCTTGGATGGTGAAAAGAGCAATTCTACACCTCATTTTGCTTCCTCTAGACTCTTCTCTTTATATTGCCACCATCACATCCCCCTCATTCATCTCCCCCTGAAGTGAATGAATCTGTTTTCACATGGAAGCATAATGTTGTCACGTAGTGTTCAGGCATTCTTCTCTTTGCTCTATTTTATGATTGTCAAATCACTGACTGCAATATTTCATACACACATTTTGTCTTTGTTATACATCTTCCCTTTTCAAGTGGCTTTCACTGTGAATAAGGTGGGGCTTACCTGAGTATCTATTTATCACATAATTTTTCTCTAGTAGCTTCTTTGGATTTTCATAAGAACCAACACGATTCGATTGTTAGCACCTCAGAAGAGAGTCCCATGGAGATCTGGTATTAAAGTTTAAGCTTTCTGCAGGACCCTAGCCTAGATACCCATTAATGTGTGGGAGTAATCGGAGACTTACTTCTAATGTACATGACTGTTAGCATCACATTTCATTTGTCATTACACTCCATATGCTTGCAAACTCCTACTCACAGCTGCCAACTGGTTGCTCTGCAAGTCTCATTTATAAAAAGCATGCAGGTTTACTGGCTTTTCTAGCTTAGGTTGTCCCAGAAAAATTACACCTACCTCAGGCAAAACTTCGAAGAACTATTTATTGGACTGGTGGCTCTTCTAACTACTCTATACTGTGAAAGTAAGTCATTAAGATTACTTCACTGCTTACATAAATGCAAGTCACCTTAAGGTTAAAAGCAGTTGCCATTTAAGGCATTATACAACAGTCAGACATATTATAATATTTGAAAGGGAAGGGGAATTTTAGTACTGAAATTAGTTCAAGGGTAATTCCTAGGTGGTGTTAAAATACTCAAGTAGCAAGTTTACGTACTGCATATACTATAAAATTTCAAATACCAGAAGCTATGTCAAGATTATTTTGAACACCTGACGGAACCAGAGATGCAAGTAAAAGCTGCCAAAGTCTTTTGCTGAAAGTGAGTCTGAATACATGCAACTAGACAGACAGGTAGGAATGTCCTCCTACTCACCTGTGCTAATTGACAAAGAACTTAATTTCTGCAAAAGTGTAACATTTAAAATATGCATCTGGATGAATACCTTCTCTTTGGCTGCTCACAATCCAGACAACCCAGAAAGTAAAGCTGACTCATCTATTTCCAGTTTTCAGATTCAGTGCGAAAAGCAAAAAATGCTAAATATCAAAAAATAAAGTCTGTAATCCTGCAATTTGATTTATATCCACTCAGCCCACACAGAATTTCACTGAAGTCAACAATCTGTGCTTGGATCTGACTACAGGATTAGGGCCATTGTTAAAACTGCAGAAGGCTTTCCTTGACAATAATCCAAAGGCAAGAGCAACAGCAGAGGGGGTGAAGAGTATTTTTAAATGCAACAGAATTTCTCAAAAAATCTCCTTAGATTCTCTTATGATTTGTATCTTCCTAAAATAAAGGTGTCCAGACAAACATTTTGTTAAAGTAGTTGCATTTAAAGTATCATGAAGTGCCAAATTTTTCAGAGGGCTGACACCGAGAAGCACGTAAGCTTCTGGCTTCAACTTCCCTGTTACCTGGCATACTATTGAGGTATTTCCGAAAGCAAGCTCTCAATCCAAGCCTACTCATGCTTAAGTCAGCATGACAGCATGATTTTTTTCACAATTTTTTTTTTTCCTCTTCCTCCTCCCTTCCCATTTTACATTGTGAAAATTAGAAATAGGAAATTTTTTCTTTAATTACGTAAAATTTCACCTCCATAGCATCAACCATGGGGATTTCCATTAAATTAATTAAAATCATTTTCTTATTCTTAATTTATAAATCACTTTTTCCATCACCTGGTGTCACAAGCCCTTTCAAGTGAAAAACAAGAATGTTACAGTAAAACCCATGAATTTTCTCTATATACTGCTCTACATTACTTAATAAACAAGTTAATCTTTAAATGGCAGAGGAGTTAATTCCATCATGCAAGACATGGCATTCTGATTTTGTACAATACAATTGTCAAAAATATAAAACTTTAAACAAGTCATTAGTCACATGGATTAAAACACACGCATGTTCCAATCTTTCTACTAACTTCTTGACTCCAGAATTAGTTCCTGATGCATAGGTGAATTTTACATGAAATCAAGTAAGATCCAAGCACTGCCTTTGTGTTTCAGTCTCCCCTGTGTACTTTCCATTCGCCTTAGTACTTTTCTTCACGTAAATACTTTTATATATACAGACTAGAATTTATTGGAAAGCTTACTTTTCTTTAGGGTGGCAGAGAAATTGAAGGTGTTTTTCTTCAGAAAAAAGGCTTTTTTTTTTTTTAAAGTATTTCTCATTTATTCAAATTCTTTTCACATTAGCTAACTGTAGCTTTTCCCATAATTTCACTTGAAAAGCGAAAGTGGCAAAACAGTGGAATAAGCTACACGATACACTATAAACAATATTTCAAACTTAGCAAGAGTGAAAAGGATATTAAAATCACAAACATTTCTGCTGTAAATTTTAGAGGAAGGTTCACCTTCACTACCCCTAGTTTCAAAAAGCCACACAGGTGTGGTTGCTTCCAGAGACAGATAATTAAAAATACGTATCTAAGACTGTATCTAGCTGATCAGGCAGTAACCCATAGCGAAGACAGACATACAGGGAGCAGCAGCATATAAGCATAAATTACAAGAATCATGACAGTAATCTCACACTGGCACATGCTTCTAAGTTGCGAACAACTAGGTTTGCAAAAAATTCAGACTGTACTAAATATCCTGCTCGCGTGGCTACTTCTGTTATGCAGAAGTGAAAAAACTTCTCAGGCCAAGATGGCTCAACTACTTTTTGTGCCACTTCAGTACCTTTTAAGAGGTATAAAAAGCATAAATATCTCATTTCCACCTGAATTTCTAAATGTACTGGATATTTCAACTTCTGAAAATAAAGTGTTGACAATGTATTGAAACAGGCAAGCAGCATATGCGACTAAATTGCTTTTATCTCAGAACTCTCTTTCCTGTGCTGCTTCTATACAGCAGGTATCTGGGGAGATGACTAATTGTACAACAGCTTAATGTTCTTAACGCTGCGAACAAATAGCCTCTGGGGATAAAAGATGACAACCTCCTTGTTGTGTGAATCCCATCTGCCATCAAGGCACCGAAGCCACATACCGCTCTAATGCGGATCTGCATCTTGCATAGTATTACACTTTCTCTACATTTCGAATGAGATCTAATTCCAAAATGCCCGGAGTGGACTTTACCTGGCCAAAAGTCCCCACCCCTCGAAACCCAAAGGATCAAAAAAAAAATTACTAGCAGTCCTTCCCCCATAAAACCACTTTGAAGAGCTTGTTATCTTTAGGTGATTTTAGTACTTCCTCATATACCCTGAAAGACCACACTGGAGCCTCTTACCAGACATCGCGGTGAGGTCAGCACTACTGCTGAACAGCTCTGTAACTCCCAGACCTCTCCAGACATCTTTCAGATCGATCTCCTGTTCCACTGTGAACCTGGAGAACGTCATCAAAAATTACAAAAAGCCCAGAATGTAAGCAGTACTTATTGGTATTAGAAGGTTAAGATTTCTAGGTAATGACCATTGAAACACTGAGGTAAATAATGTAAAGTAGGAGATTCAGCACAGGTAGTATAGCCTCGTGACACCTTCTACAAAAGTGCTTACAAGCAAATTACTTCACTTTCACAGGTGGATTTTTTTTTCCTAATGCAGAAGCAATCAAATACACGCTAATGGAATGTATATTCCCTGACCATAAAACCTCAGTGCAAAATGATGCAGTAGCTAATGTAAATGCTTACTTTATAAAAAAGGTTTACTATAAAAACTGAATTTAATTGTACATATACTAGAACAGAATATCAAATAAGGCAAAGGACAGCAGAAACTTCATAGACAGCTGTTAGAGAAGAAGGAGTAGGAAAGTAAGAAAGATACTCCATTTTTCTCTAGACTGTATAAGCAAAGACCAGCAGTTATGAACCTGAATATAAAGCATTTCTGACTCAGCTTCTAATTACTCTGGTGGCAAAATTTTAATTGGGTTTTGATCGTGAGTAAAGGACAGGGAAAACAAATAGTTGTTAGCGCAAATGCACATGGGATTACAACCTGGCAGGGTTTCAGGGTTAACTTGCAAAGCCATGTTCTAGGCTATGTTACTGGAAGGACAAATTGGGATTAATCCTGAGGGCAAGATCTTGGCAAAAAGCTTGCTCTTTTCAAAAATTATAAAAGTCATGCCTGGTGTCAGTAAGACAAAAAAGACTTAAGTCCTTTATATATGGCCAGAAACAGACTGGAAAGCCAGACAAAGAAACATGTCAGAATATTAATAAGAATGGCAGCCCCAACCAGAAAATACCAGAAGTCTACAGACAAACACAAGAGACTAATTCCAAATGTTTGTCATGTGCGAGATGTGGGTTCTCTGTAGAATCACCAAACACATTATTAGTGATTTAAATTATGCTGACAGTGACTGGTTATAACTGTACAACACACAATATATAGGCAATAAGATGGTGTTACAGTTTCTCCAGCCAGCCATTCAGTCAGAAACAACTCTGCAGTTACACTGCAGTCCTTAGAGAAGGGTCTTACCTGTGCTAGAATCAAATATAAAATAAAATGTGCTTTTGTGTAATTTCTTCTAACAACTATTTTTCAGTACTAAACTTCCTCGACTACATGGAGGAACATGTTCTTTTCAGAAGAAAGATCAGGCCAGAACTCTGAGCAGAGAGCAGCTGATAAAGAGCTGAGATGTACAATGCCTCAGTACGGACAAGCCTTGGCAGCTTGAAGAAGAATAACCTGGATATCAGAAGACGGCTGGGTAAGAGTCAAGTGGATCTTCCTCACTTACAACATTTACACAGAATGATAAAAATCCAATACACAATCTACATTCATAATTAACTTTGAAATGCCGTAAGAAGCCAAAAAACTATGATGGAATAGATATTAGTCATCACCCAGAGAAGAATTTTATGTCAGTTAAAATAAGATCTGGAGATAGTTCAGGATTGATAAATCACTTCTGACACCACAAGTGCACATGAATTAAAAAAAAGTGACATTATCTTAACAAAACGTAAGTACACAGATGAAATGACCTGAAAACAGCCAACAAGATTTTATGAAAGAGAAACGTGTCCTGCTAGTTTTCTTCAAGAGGAATCATCGCTCACTTTCTGCTTAGAAAGCTGTGGACACTGACACTGGTCAACAACCACAGGCAGTGAGCTCACAAGATCTTTTGCGCAACTGTAGCTTGAAGCTGAGAGACAAATCTGCAAGTTGCTCATTCATTCAAATTTCCCGTTTGCTTAGAGTCTCCAAAACTAGAGACTAGTTTTATTCTCGCTACACACTTGTAATCCAAGTCCAGATCTATTTTAGAGACTTCAGTAAAAACCCTAAGAAAGGTGAATTAAGATTTCATTCCTGATGCCAGAGTTAACTAGAATTAAACAGTACAAAGGTTCTGTCTGTGCATATTGAATAAATACAGAAATACTTCCTTCTATATTTAAAACTATATTATAACATTTTGAAAAACACATCCAACTGTACCTACCCTACAAACACACAGAAAAAGCAAATGAATGTTAAAATGCATTTTATAAAAAATTTAGAATGGTGTATTTTTCCCTATTTTGGCTTTTATTTCACCACAATTTAAGAGATGTATCAAACTTTCAAGATAATTTAGCCATTAAGTAGCAATGGCAAACTAGTAAAGATTATCAGGATAGGAGTCTAGCAAGAAAAGTCTAAATGAAAAGCCAAATTTGAGGTCATAAATAAGAAAAATAACTGCAAAAAAGCATTTTCTCCAACTGCAGAGATTTCTATCAGATAGAAATGGAAATCAGGTGGGTTGAAGTCTCTGGACCACTAGACAGAAAACACTTCTCTGCTAAGCGATGAATTGTGACCTAGAAAGAGAGCATGACCAAAAAATGCTTCTGCATACTAATCAAAGAGGAGGTTTGGGAGATGTTTTTTAAAGAAAAAACCAAAGCAGAACAAAACCATAAAGCCTCAGCTGAACATACATCTGAAAAAAGAAAATGCAAACAAGTTGATTGGTTATATTGCTCCATAATACCTCCATGAACAGTAGAAGCAGTCAATTACTGGATGGCAGCTACACCCCTGACTGAAACCTCTGGAAAGGCAAATGCTGAACAGGTGCGTGAGGGAAGGTCTCATTTATAAAAAACAAGTTCCTGCTTTTTATGACAAATAAAATAGGCCAAAAATATCACATCAGCTGTATAAATATCAAACTATCCCTTTACAAAAATGAAATTAATTACTTCCCTTCTCCCCTTTTAGTTTTGTCATATGGTAAAAACCCACTCTGAAGCACTATTCAAACCAGCATCTCCCCTCCTTCCTCACATGCTCTCAAGAACAGCGAGAGTTACAGATAAGCTATTATTAATGGCATTTCCAATATTTTAGCTGACATCATAACTAGCCTCTTTTGAAAAATAATAGGGCTGCTTTACACTTTAAAATACAATTTCAGGCTATGCAAACCGACATAAGCATTCGGTATGAGTTACCCTCCAGTCATATTTGGTTTTCTTTGCGTTCCTCATAGGCAGTGATGTAGGTATTCAACATCAAAGCTCACAACCTAGAAGGGACATTCAGTCTCAGTTCCCAGGCCAGGCATCTGCTGTATTTCCAGCCTTGGAAATGTTGAGCGGCATGACACTAGGCCTGACACATACTTATTTGCAGTGGATGTCTCATATTAAACCAGATGGTCATATTTTTTTTCCCCACGATCTTTTATGTGCTTCTGATGCTAAAAATACTAAGAAAAAAATCAATTTCAATATTTCAGTATCAGAAGTCATGGAATAGTTCCAACTGGGAGCATTAAAAACCACAACGGGAAGTCTGAGAGAGGTCAGACACTGAAGAAAAGATGAGGTATTTTCACCATAGGATCAGAACAGAAACAGAAAGACTGGTCTGTTGAGTCAAGAGGAGAGCTTCTGTACTTCAGCAGTTTTAGATGGTTCACCAACACAATGTTCATGGATATCTGCTTCTACAGACCACCTTAGAAAGTACTGAGCAGAAAGATATCAATAAGAGAGTGACTCTGCCTCTCAGCTGTTAGCCAACGTCAAGGAGAAGTGAGGATGTGAGTTAGCTCTACATTTATTTTTACAATGTATGTTTGTAAAGTCTTTCTACTTCCTACATGTAAAATGCAGTCCAAATAGGTGAATAAAAACACTTTCCTTGATTTCCACCCTCTCTGGATCTCTCCCACACAAAATGAAGAACAGAACAAGACACTTAGGAAGCAGAATTAGACTGAGAAACTAATCAACAGCTCTCTGGAGAGCTTAGCAGAGAATGATGATATCCCCATGGAATTTAAAACTTCCACAAGCATTAAAACAATGCATTTACATCATCAGCGGTGTCCTTAATGCTCTATCCAAAACCTAAAGGTTCAGATAATAACTAACATACCACATCAGGCCATCTTTCTTCTATTTTACAGACTTTCAAGCAGAAAAAAATGGTTTCGTCTTGTACGATGCTGTCCAACCCTTTTGAAATGCTGAACTTTTCGTGAAGTCTTTAGACACTCAGGATCCACCAAGTCAAGAAGGATTAAGGGTACACTTTCTAGTTATACAACATACACAATCTAAAGCCTAGCGTGATTCATCCCAAAGGCTGTAACTTCAAAAATTACTAAGAGTTCTGAACAAGCAAAAGCAAGAAAGTCCAGGTTTTCAGATTGATTCTAATACATTACAGTCTGCAGAACAAAAAGCAAACAAAGGAATGGCTCTGTTGCTTGAGATCAACAAAATTCTGGCTTGGAAGACCGGCCCTCAAGATCTGAATCGCTATTTTAACCTAGCAAGCAGCCTACAATACAAAGTTTCCAGCTGATATCAATTCCACCATTTCAGCTGGAATTTCAGCTAAGCTGTCCTGAGATGCTAGAATTAGCCTGCATGATTTAGTAGTCTGAAAACAAACAAGCAAGCAACAAAAAACCCCAATAGCAGAAAACCAAACAAAAAACCCCATACAGCTGCTCTGACCAGGTGAAGCAAGGTTATGGCTCTTTCTCTGGCAAGGTCCTTCTACCCAGGGCTAAATATGGGCTGCAGAAGTTGGCTAAGCGTGTATTTCAATGGGACAGTTTTATGCCTTTTTCATGACTATATCTCAAGAACAATCAGCACTGGCCTATTCCTCATGAAAAGGTGACTCATGAGAGCATGCTAAAAAAAAAAAAAAGAGATTGTCTGGGTTTTTTTTTGTTTGAGAAAACAACCTTCAGCTAAAGACACACAGCATTTCAACGCCATCTAAGGCATTTTTATGATATTTTAAATGTACAAAAAAGCACTACAGAGAGGCAGGCACACTGGAGCAATCCTGAAGAGGAGATCCACAGACTGTAGCACTGTTATTAGGTACTGGTTCCTCCTACAATCTTCAAATAATTTATGTTAGAGACAGCTTTGTAAATTAGATTCATGGTCTGTTTCACTCCTATGCAAGAAGTGGATTAAAATGTTGATCACTTTCGTCTGGGTTAAGCTGGAAACAATGATTTAAAAATGAAAACGAGAAAGTATAATTTAACAATTCTGTACAAATCTCTTCTTTGCTATTAAAAGGAATAATACACAATTTCATTTGCACATAGATAATGCAGACAGAAATTGGAAAGCTGTGATTAACTCTGTTTTGGCTAGTCATTCAGGTCCTATTACAAATGTATAAGTTTAAAAAATGTTCACTTTATAATTGGATAGCATCTTTCAGGATATAAAAATTTAATTTTATTCCACTGCTGCTTTCAATTTCTCAGTGGACAGAGCCTGCAGGCCACATTTCATAACATGCCTTCCTGAGTCAGAACATAAAATATTTATGAAGTGTTTATTTAGAGCAACGATAAAATCCTGCAGATCCCCTCTGAATCCCCAACGGAAGTCCAACACATTGGGAGCGTGCAATTAATCTTGGGAATTCTTGTAAGGAAACTGCAGTATTACTACGTAGAAATTCAAGCCCATGACAGTTGTCTTTTATAATGTGAAAATACTGAAGGTAATCAGCACCTGGTTGTACCTGTTTTGCCTTTATATAGCCTTAATTCACAGTGTTTACCAAGTACTTTCAGGTTCTTAGGCATGATGACTAGCCTGAGGAGAGAATAAATAAGGATATTATATGACCACACACAACCTAAGCCTCAAACTCATGTCTGAGAACCTGGCTACAGAGAATCCTGGACTCTTGGCTTTTGGTTAAGAGCAAAAAACCCACAGAACTACTTCCACAAACTTAATTCAAGTCATAAACATAATTAATATGTTTTCAATTACCTTTATGTATTTAACTGTAGATACCTAAGCTTCTTAAATTTGGAAGGTAGTTTTCACAGTTCCCCTATACAAATCTCAGAGAGAGACTTCTATTGTGGATCTCGCACTCCAGAAATTCTTTGAGAGAAGATGTCTAACTATACCACCTGATGCACAGGCCATGAAAAGCTCCAGTTATAAAAGAAAAGCTTAAGGGATGGCAGAATCCTCAGATTTTACTTCTCATTAACATCTAGGTAAGGTTTGCCCAAGCCAGGAGGAGAAACAGCCTAGGAGAAATGCCCCTTCCCTGCATCCGAGTGGACTGTTAATACTAAAGCTCCTGGGACCTGAAGCTCCAAGAGAAAAACAAACATCACAGGAACAGTGTACAGTAGATTCAGTTTGTATAAAACCTGCAATGCAGCTTTTTGCTGCTCTCCCTGCTTCTTCAAAGGAAATGCTACTTAAAAAATAAGAGAACTCTTCTTACGGGACTCGGAAAAATCGCCCCAAAACACTGTTGTTCCCTCACCAATCTGACTCCAAGCATAACAGCTTTAAAGAGAAGTGGAATTCCACCTTGAGCTGGAATCAGGACAAGCCAACAGCACCAGTCCATCTCAGTCTAACTTCTCCTGCCTAGCCTTACTTCATCGTGCTCCGCTGCAGTCAGGTTCTCGAAAGTGGTCTTTGCTTTGGAAAGGAAGCTGATAAACTGCAGGGATTCCTGCCCTGCTCTGTAAATATGAAATACAACAAACTCAAATCTCCAAGTCGCCTGAAAACAAAGAACTATTTTAATGATTAAAAGGATTCACCATAGTTTATTTTTTCTGCTGCCATGTACCTGCTGCACAGTGCCACAAAAGTAGAATAAGTAGAAGCGATCCACATCAAACTTGTGCCATACTGTTCTATGAACACTTCAGTGAAATCATTATGAATCACTTGAAGGACATCATGATCCAGCTATACATTATTAGTGACATTTAGTAGTAAACAATTTTGTTACCAAGTCAAGTGTAGGGCAAGCATGAAAAATATTTGAAGGTAGACAAAATAGAATTCTAGGAAAGATAACTAAGTGGTATATGTGAGCAAATACGCCACTAAGCACACACAACTCATGTCTACAAATGAACTGACAGAAGTTTCATCCCTTCTGGGAGTAACGTCTTGTGATTATATCGCTCCTCTAAGGAAAAAGAAACCAGCACTTATTACAACTGAGAAATAAGACACAAGACACAAATTGACTGGAATTACCTCTTAACACTCAACCATTTGTAACTACACAGACACACACCATTAGAAGTTTTTAAATTAGCAGCACATGGAAATCTAATTAGGACCTAAATGAAACGTTTTAGCTTTTGCTATTTCAGACTTGCATTATTTCTACAGCTTCTATCTAAATGGAACTTATCCATAATGAGTTCTGCGATACTCTGAACATCATTCAGACTGCCTATACTCCCGATGATGAAATTCTCCTTTTCTGCAGCTAACACGAGAGGGATGCGAAAGCAGTGCTCATCTGTTGCTCAACCAACCATCATTCTGCACTGCAGGCTTTCTTGTCAAAGTAACCTTCATGTAGCTGCTACATAACTGCACACTTGATCGAGATGTTCAGGTTCTACCTATTCTGCTACTCCGATCTATTTGAATGCAGCCTTTCCCCTTCTATTGACATGGGAACATATTCTCACCTTGGTAAATACACTTCCACTTTTTGCTTCTTTACAGAATTAGCCCATTCATTAATCAACGAGGCTTTGACCAGTGGTTCCAATGTGACCAGTGGAACTTCTTGTCTGGAAAGAACGATCATCATACTAATCTCATCTCCCTCATACGGTATTTCCAGAACTTGATAGATACCACCTGCTTCATTGGAGCCATCACTGAACTCTCCTACAAAAGAACAAAAACAACAACAACAAAGCTGTTAGAAGTATTTTGTTTTGGTTTTACTGAAGATTGGGGAAAAATAGAAGGTTAATATTAGGCAATATTTACTAGACACCAGAGGTAAAAATGACCCTCTTCATTCTATTCTGTATAAAATTTATATGAGTTTCTTCACTACAGGACTTGAGGCTTACATCTGCTTTCTTCAAGAAAACAAGCTGATGCAATCGCAGTTTGCAGATAATCATACTTCTGAACCTAATCGCCTAACCTCCATTGGTTAGACAGAGAGCAGTCTAAAAGTTAAGGCTGCCATAACTTTCACAGAAATGAGCAGAAGTTTTGTTATTCAGGAGAAAGAATTTGTCAATGCTGAGTCAGAGTGAAATGCTGCCAATGCTAGACACTGTAGAACCCACCGGGAGTTCAAGATAAAAATGACCATTATTTCTGCTGTTCACAGAACCCCTATTTTACCTTTTAAAGGTATTACAACTGTAACAAACAAACATTATCCATTTTAATATTTAGCACAGCACAAGAAAAATGTTTTAGTGAGAAGCAGGACTAGCTCAAGAACTGTGAAGAGGTTAGATACAATGGATAAACACATTCTGAAGTCTACCATGTGGCACAAAACACATACCTAAAAAAGCAGTCAAGAAAGAAGTCATAATACATACGCATTCACAATACAAAAAGGTATCAAAATCAGAGTTCGTCCATTGGACATACACCACATTTAAAATTCTAGGTGAAAGAACAGACAACAATACAAATGAGTATTACTGCAAAGCTATTAAGGGAAGACTTACTAGCTTTAAATTGCTAAAGCTCCAACTCACCATAGTAAAACTCTCCCTGCTGGTACATCATTGGAATCTGCACTTCACTTTCATCATCTTTAGTGAAAGAAAAAGTTCTTGTATTTTCAGGTCTGAACTGTGATTTCCAATTGCCTTTAAAGTAGATCGCGTTGATGAGAGCCAAATGAGTCAGAGCACCAAAATCTCTTGAAGACACGAAATCTTTGATCATGCCTAAGAAGGAAGCCAACTGTCAGTCTGCATGTCAAATTGAGCATTAAATCAAAACTTAAGACAGCTTGAAAAATGCAAGAAAATAAAAAGCTGTGCTAACATGTAATTTCCAATTCAGACGTTCCATTAAATCTCAAATTAAAGCGCCAGTGTTTTGTAAACCTAAATCACAGTGTAAGTGCATAAACCCTTCCATCAAGTACATGTTACTCAACTGTGTCTTGATCACTACTTACATATTCCCTACAATGAAACAAAATGGAAAAGAGGTCACAGAATCACAGAATGTTCAGGGTTGGAAGGGACCTCTGTGGGTCACCCAGTCCAACCCCCCTGCTGAAGCAGGGTCACCCAGAGCAGGCTGCAGAGGACCTTGTCCAGGCGGGTCTTGAGTATCTCCAGAGAGGGAGACTCCACAACCTCCCTGGGCAGCCTGTTCCAGGGCTCGGTCACCCTCAGAGTGAAGAAGTTCTTCCTCACGTAAGAGTCAGGGTCACATACGGAACGTTTACACTGGTGCTATAATACAGTTCAGCACTATCCTCTTCAGGTCAGAATGTCTACAAGTTTTGGCTCCAATCCAAAGAAGCACTTAAATGGGTGCTTAATTTAAAGTGTATAAGGATATCCACTGGAACTTCACCTGGGCCGATTTTCAAGGAAGCATTCAGCTTCAGTAATGTCCTACTGACTTCAAAGTAAGGACTAATCATAAAAAAACCCCTAAATTCACACCATGGGTTTCACTGACATTAGCTCTTGAAAAGCAAAAGAGAAAAAACATCTAGCATCTGCTCTGTTCATGGGAGGTATGTCAGCTGAGCATGGCAGCTGCTTTGCTCCTATTTCTAAATAAGTCATTTATATTAGAATACAGTCTGTTACCTGCTTTAGCTCATCTTCAATGTCTTGCTTTTCAGAAAAAAAATTTTGAGTTTAAGTATGGTGCACTGACCAGATTTGTCACTATTCTTTGAAGAATTACAGCCTACTTCAGAGAGCTTTCTTCCTCACTTCTATTTTTAACTGACATTGCAATACAAGGTGTTAAAATAAACACATTCCTCAGTCTGATTATTACTTCTTAATCCATGGTTTAAAATACAAATGAATTCTGCTTTCTGGAGCATATGATGCCGACTAACTGGTGAGGAATCTGTGTATCATATAATGGTATTTCTTCTGGGTTTCTGTTTGTACTTCATTTTATCTACAAGGTTCTCAGAAATGAGATGTGACCAATACCACCACACTCACTTCCCATAGCTGGAAAAAAAGGAAAAATTAAGAAGGAATACACTTCCAGTTTTTCCATTTCTATTTGGTACATCATATTCCCTTATATTTTTCAGCCACATCTTGTTAACACACTAAAGTAGGTTAAGAATATTTCTGGTCAGAGAAACCTTGACAGTTACGCTTTCTGATCCGAGCATCCCATCATGCTTAACATGCTGGAATTGGAAACCTGCCTGTCTTGTACCCCTTTGCTAATGAGAAAACGAGCCTCCTCTGCCAGAGCGGGCAGGCAGGAGAGAATGAGATCTAGTGGTCAGAGACTAAGCTGAGGGACTGTTACTATCGCAACATAATGCTGAGACCCACAGCTGCCTTTGTTAGCTCTGCACAGCTCCTTCCAGGGCAATGGTCAGGAGCTCGGTCAGCGCACATGGCAGGTGTTAAGCAGGAGAACTTGCTGTTCTTTCTAAAAGAAATTTGATTTTTCCTTCAGACAGACGCCACGTTTCTTGGAAAACACTCTGCAATCTGCTGCATCACTTACATTCCCTCTATTTCTGTAGCTTGAGATAAAGGGTAAAACTTTTCATGAATATAATAGCTGCTATTTTCCTTTGGAAAAGAGAGATAATTTCCACAATGGAATAAAAGCACAATATGATGTGTTTTTCTACTTTGGTGCCATACAGTTCCATAAAGCATTATGGACTTAAGTGCTCAGATTACATGGTGATCCATTAATTCCTTACAGGGGATCCTGATACCTGCAAATTTACAATGGTACAACTTATGTTAGAGCCAGATCCCTGTTGAGTCAGTTAAAATAACAACCTCCAGAGTCTGCCAGATGAACCAAAAAGATTATGCTTTGCTCCCTACAACAGGGAACTAACTTCACTCCCATACCTTGAGACTCTGCACGTATCCTTAAAGCGTTGCATCTTTGGGATTCCACAAGCAAAGCAAGCACTACATCATGCATATCTGAATATGCATATTACATCGGTAATTTTGTGCTTACTCCCCTGCTGCAAATTTTTGTTGTGAAACTGTTGACAGTCTTCCTAAAATCAACTACTCTCTCAACATGCTATCTAGTTTCCGCACTTTGGAAAAGATTAAATTAGAGGGTCTGATTTTGTGGTTCAAAGTTGTCTTTTGTATTGCTTAGTATTCTATTTCTCAGTACCTTGTAACTATGAGTTCCTCAGAGAAGAAGTGACACTCCACATAGCCAAAACATAGGCCAATAACCCCTTTGTAGACAACTTATCTGCAGTTACCAATAGTACTTACCTAATTTTTTTTGTAATTTAATACCAAAATCAGTATTAAAATACTATTAAAATGCCTACCACTAAAACAAACATTCTCCTTTAACAACTGTTACAGGTATTTAAGATAGGAGGGGAAAAAATATTTAGACAGATACTACTATATGATTAGCAATGGCTAATATTACTTAAGACAGATCATTCCTGCACACGAAAAAACCCCATGATTTCACACAGAGCTGATACCAGCATTCTTTTTATGGGAGGAGATATTTTAGTCTGAAACAGAACAGATAAAACCCAAGGCAACAATTCAATAACACTGTATAACTTTGGAAACACAAACACTTACTGCAGGAAGTGTACAGAAGAAATATGTGGACTTACTATTTGTATGATTCTCCACCCACTTATTGATGTGGGTAGCTACAGCTGCACTTTGGCTGAAATCTACGTTCTCTACTTCAGCTTTAAAGTACTTTTTCACCAACTGCAGAAATTTGTCACTGATATGAAATCCATTCTGCACATAGAGAGAGTTAGCAATATTCAGAACATGACGACTTTCTTCAGTAGCTGCCATATCAGAAAGCTCCTTCAAGAAGGTAAACTCTTCACCTGAGGAAAGAAAAACAGATTCAGTGTTTCAGAAAAGAAAGTTCTTCCCTGCTTTTTCTGCTGGAAATTCACAAAGACATTCTATAAAAAAAAGTCTTTTATTGAATAAACTTGTTTCTAAACCCACACACACCTTCAGATCTGAAAGAACAATCTATAAGGCAGAACATATTATTTAAAGCTTATTTTTTCTACTACCTATAATTAGCATAATTAACAAGACATTTGGATCTCATCAAAAAAAAATTATAAGTCACACTTCTGTCCTGCCACTGCAAATGCTTAACAGGATTTTCGTTACATCCTAAAATCCAGCTGTTTAAAGAAAAATGAGCTTCCAGTTTTGAAGCTAAGGACTTCCTCACAGACTTCTCTCTGCAAAAAACAGGTCTAGAATTTCCCAGGATCCTGCACGGCATAGTACAGAAACGTCTACTTGGGTAACAAGGAATCCTGAATAGGATTAGTCTGCTTTAAGATAGGAAGCTTGTACTGTTGCATTACCTACCTGAAGCTGAAAATTCTGATTAAAAAATAAAACCAATAAAAAAAACCCCAAACTTAAAAATTGAATGCAATGATCTATTCCACACAGAAATCACTGGAGTATTTTCACTGAATACCACTCCTATGCAAGAATGGTGAACGGCGCAACTCAAGGCAATTGCATAACTTTTTCAATTATAGCTAAGGGGTAATTTATCCATGTTTTAGAGACAAACTGCAGCACGTGCTGTAGTCTCCACAGAGAGGCACCATCTGTGCAGTGGTCCTGTTGAACACATCTTGAACATCGCATTCAGAAATACCTCCCCAAGCTCCCTTCATTGAGAACTTAAAGTCCAGTACATTGTACAAATAAGAAATTTCATTCATGTTTCAAACCAATTACTCTGACATCAAAATTCATAGAAATTGCCTTTTCAAAGTCAGTTTTTGCCATTCACTCCTCCCCTCCATTTGCAGTCGTATCACAGCTGCCTGCAGTAACAAAGCGTGCTTGTGCTCCACGGCACAGCACTACACCCAGACGCGCGGCTTAGCTTATCCCATACTACAAATGGGACGGTGTGGCAATATTGTTCTCTGCTCAAGAAACGCACCCTGTTTCCCAGAAAGGCTGATGGGAACATGTGGCGTATCGTGCTGAAACAGCCAAGACGCTTGTGTTTCCTACATTAGCTTGTATATCTGTATGCGACATTATGCAATGCAGGCAGAACATTAGCGACATAGTTAGGGTAAAGAACATATAGGTTTTACCTAAAAGAACCAAACAAGTTGTGTCAAAGTAGGAGACATTTCCAGTTAAAATACTAAGATTTTCATACTTTCTTATAAGCAATATTGCTAGAACTACGGCTTTCCTTTTCAAATTTCATTATAATCCCTAAAAAGGATGTTTCTAAAAATCTTACTACTCTACAGGCAAAGGCATGCTTATTTTACAGATGGAGACCAAGATCAACAGTGAACTGCAATTGCTTAAGATTCAGATGCCCAAGCCAGGATTGTACATTAGCATCTCTCAGCTTACGCAGAATCCACTGAACACGCTTCAGCGTGCTCAGGCCATCAAACAGGACGCCAAGAAGCCTACTGATTAATAACCCATGGACATGACCAGGCCACTTCCATCGTTGTTCAGGCATTGCCATCTGCTGCTTCAAAGACAAAAAGCCCCATAGTAAAACATGACTGAAAGGCCTTACCATTTTTTAAGCTGTCAAAACCCAAGGAATGTCGAATTTCTTTCAAAGTGGTTCCATGGGCTCCAAGCTCTACCATTCCCATGGCTATTGCAATGCTCAGAGGAGAGAAAAGAATATTCTCATCTTCTCTTGTAGCTCGTAGCTGATTGTAAACATTCACAGAAAGTTCAGCAATGGTTTCATCAGGAAAATTTGTCTTGAAGGCTTTGCCTTGCAAAACAAGCAAAGACAACAGTCCAAGGAAATACATGTCTTCAGATTCTAAGATCTGCAAGATAAGTTTTGGAGAAAATAAGTTAACCTTGTTCAAGCAATAAGAGATTCAACTTGAGAGAAAAAAGAATAGTAAACTTTTAATCTTAAATGTGTGGGGAAAAAACCTACTTATGGAGTTCAATGCACAATTCAGCTATTTGGAGGAGAAACTAATACATATATTAGTAATGATCTATTTTGAAAAAAATAACCTGCTTTGTTATGTGACTTCATGCTTTTGAAATCTTTCAGTAATAGATTAATAAAACACAGCTTCTACAGAAAGAGACCACAAAGCCACAGCAACGCCTTTCCTACTTCTACTTTTTTAATTTTGCTGTTGTCATCGTTAAGCAATGCTGATCTGGAATTGGTACATGTTTCTGTACTTGTTCACCATGGAGACCTATAAATCCACATTTCTTTTATTTGACCTTCCAGTAAGATGCAACTTATTCATCTAAGTCACTCTAAGCCCCAAACTGATAAAACTATTTCCAGCACTGTAAGAGACCTTGCTGACACCAGTGACAACCGAAATGTACCATGATGTTGCTCAGTTGCAAAGCACATGGCAAGCAGCCACAAATTCTTTGAAAGAAAAATAAATCGTGCCTTAGTTACCAAATGAAATCCCTTTTGTTAGTAAATAATGGTGAGAGGTTGGATAGTTATGCTAGCTAGGAGACAATACCTGCTCAGAGATCTTCAGAGGTTAAAGTTACTGCAGACACCAGTGAGAAAGATCCAAAAGGGGAAACAAAAAAGTAAACTAAATAGAAACAAGGGTTAGCACTAATGCTTTTGACTAATCCATATTCCAAGCTTTGCTAAACTGCTTCAGTAAGGAACAGTTCTCACTGTCCCAGTTTAGCTCATCGCACACCTACTGGTATTAACATTCCAGCTCCTGAAGCAGTGTACGTGTTTCTCCATCCTTCCATTTTTTCCTTTAAACTTCATGCTGCCGTGGCATCTGACCCACTACAGCCAAGTGTCTTGGGTCAGAAGTATCAAGCCAACAGAGCTCGCATTTCAATTCCTTCTCTTCGCTGCTGACGATATCTCAAACACATAACTAAGTAAAGATTCCTGAAGCAGTACGTTAGACAGTACAAGACTAAAAGCTTTAGTCCAGAAGTTGTAGTTGTTGTGCCAGTCTGCAGGGCTTGTCAGCATGGGACAAATTTGTGTGAATGTGCTATTCTGTTGCTCGACTGAAGTCAATTCGCATGCATCCAGCCCAAGTGCCTCTGCCTTATGCTTCCTAGCTCTCCTGTGTCTGCAGCTACCACGGGTTTCTATATACCTGACAGAGACCCTTAGTGAGCTTTAGACAACATCTACATTACGTATTTCATCTTCAAAGGACTATGTAGCATTATCTAATTAACTCACACTACACTGAATGATACATAATTTAAGCATTATTACGCACATTTTATAGCTGAGAAATTGTAAAAAGCAACAGAGTACCCATACATGCCTTGGCAGCAACTCATGCAGTCATTAATTAAGATTCTTCCTGTCCCCTAGCCGTGGATCAGCCTTTTGTTTATTTTTGCACTGAGAAAACTAAATAGATGAGCCAGTGCTGCAATCACATGCTTCAGGGGACCAGGACAGGCTCTTCGTAGAGCTAGAGCCTTGTTTCTCCCCTGCCCCACACCTCCTTTCTGCTGATTGCTTCCGTATATGTATGAAATATGCCTCTCTTCTCAATTTCTAATAAGCCCTCTCCTATGCTGGCATCACTTCATCTCTCTGAACTACCTGATCAACCTTTCTCTGATTCTCAGCAAGATATCAAAAATCTCCACCGTGGGCACTTATTCTATTCAAGAATGGCACAAAATAAGTCATATAAGCCTAAAGCACCAGCTTTGTATTGTGCTCATTGCTTGATGACTACGTATTTCAGTACACTTGCAAAACTACCCAGCACTTCACCGCTGCCCAACGGAAAACACTTCAGATTGAGCCACGACCATCGTAACTTACTTGATAAAGACTGAGACAAACTTTTTATTGTCCAAAACATCATCACCATACCACAAACTTCCCCAATAACTGCTGTTCTTAATAGCAGTTAATTTTTTTTTTTTAGTCTGTCCATTTATTAACTATTGACTTAAGGATATTAAGGTTTCTGTTACAGAAAATAACTGGATTTCTCTGTTTTCTTTGTGATTCTGGGCTTTCTAGATTTCCTTATTTAAAAAACCAAGAGCATACATATCTCCCAATGTTACATAATACAAGACTTCATTCAGCACATCACTGTGATAGACCAAGCCCAGGTATTAGTCTCTCATCCTAAAAGGTGTAGGAGGGAAGAAAGGCTCATAAATATAAATCACGCAGGAGGTCTACAGCAGTGTCAAAAATGGTACCCAAACAGATACACAAGTGGAAGCTCATCTATCTTTTGTTGAGGATGAACCCAAAGCGTCATCACCGCTTGTAAACTAGCCTGTAATTCTGGGGAATCTCACATCCTAATCTAAGACAACAGGTTTTGTTGCTCAATGCAGACGCAATTATACAGACAGCTAAGCTCTTCCCCCCGTACCAAGAACTGTTTGACCTCACTTTCAGACCTGACAAAGTTACAATAGACATAAGACAATCTTCAATTTTAAAAAAAGAAAATTTCCCCAGCCTTTTAATTGCAGAGGCAGCTATTCAGCACTCCATCACTGATCTTTGTCCTATGTGCTACTGCCAGACAGGCTTAAATAATTGCAGGGGGAGAAAGAAGGAAAACTTATACATCTTAATGAAGTGCTTAACACGTAGGTTAGACTATCTGGATGCTAATAAAATATGTGGTATCAGACAATGCTAAAAAAATAATTATAAACAAATCAAAGTCATCTTTCTTTCTGACCACTCCTGAACAGCTCCCCATGTGAAATAATCAACTTACAATATTTTTAATTACTTTGTTGGACACAAGAGAGAAAAGTTACATAGACGGGGACAAACAAGATTTATACCGAAATGCTTTTATAAGACAAAGTACCAAAAAGTTGCACTTAGTCTTTAAATACACGCTTAAATCCCACTGATGGCAATACAAGAGGTGAAGCTGCACAGAATTAAATTTCCCTGTAGGAATGAACTACTGCCAAACCACCTAGATTTCCCCCCGCTGCCCCTTCCACATCACTTTCAGTCTAGAGAGGTTTCCTAACAGAGTTCACAGCGAACTTCCACACACACGTCCAGGGAAAAGGAAGAGAGCCAGGGAGGTGGGAATGAGCACGCAGGTATAGGCAGAGGATGCGACGAGCTTGTTTGCTGGCAGTGCTCTGAAGTTATTTATAAAAATCACTTCCCCACAATGTCTGAACAAGAGTACAACGTATGGGAAGATGTTTTAAAGCGAACTGAAGACCTGTGGGAGATGGTCATTGGGGAGAAGGCTGTAAAACAGAACAGACATCTGATCGAGCCTTGCCAGCCAATGTGACAATGGTCTAATCTGAGATGTCTGGGGTAAATTCTGCAGTTCAATTCTTTCTGCACTTCTGGCACAAGCGTACACTCTTCTACTGACAACTGGGAATCCAGCTCTTAATTATCATTCTAGTCCTAGCAGTTACTGCTTCTCTGATTCTGTCTCACTTTAGGCTATATTACTTTTGGTTTTATGCTTCCTCATGCCTCTTCATGCAGCAGGTCTTGATCCAACGAACAGCTGAGCACTTATTACGGTGCAGCACATTCTCAGCATCTCTCTTCAGTAAGAGTCAAGTGCACTCTGTTTTGTTTCCACAGCAGTATGGAGAGCATTTTTTAAACTGCCTGTACCCTATGCACAAACATACTTTAAGTGAAGGAAATGAAGCTGAACATTATGTAATGTATGTCCAGGAAGTTAACCAGTTCCCATGAGTATCGTCAAACTTTTTAGTCAGTCTTTTTAGACTCTTCCTCAGAGTCATCAGCAGTACAGTCTGTCACAGCTGTTCCGCATCAGTGAAATCTAGTGAACTAATACTGTGTCAGCTGAAAAGAAGTCATAGTCCACACTGAACAATAATTAAAAAAAAAACTCAAGAACCATTACTTTCAGATGTTACTGCGTGCGTTTTGCATTTATTGGCTACCAATATGAATGAAAAAAGTTGTTAAAATTACCTTCACTCCTCAATCACAAAGACATTAAGACCAAAAATACGAATTTGTTTGAGGGCCAGCCTCCGACGAAATCTAAGCTCTGTGTTATTTTATCTTATTCTTCTCGTGTTTCTGCTCTAGGTACAGAGACATGCCTGTTTTGTCTGGGGGCTTCTTCTGCCTTTGGACACTGTTCTGTACAGGGTTTAACAGTTTCTTGGATACAACTTAAATGAAAGGCACTCCTGTTGTTCTTATTTTTTGTCACCTTCTCACACATTACTTAATAATAAAAAAGAGATTCCAGATAGATGTCATTCAGTAGGTACTTGCATTGAGGTCATGACTAGTTTAATTTACAGATAACCATTTCATTCAAAATTTCAGAAACCTTCTGTAAAGATTTCACCAGTCCTGAAATTCAGGCTACTGCATTTCAACGACAGGTCACAACCAGCTCCGTGTCAAGGCAGCATTCCTGTTCATTTGCCCTGTGGCCAGCACAGATGTACTCCTGTGCACGGGCAGAAGGAACACCAGTTTTAATAATGTTTGAATAGAAAGATTCACAGGCTAGAATACAGGACTGATTCACTACAGCTCTTGCTCCCCAAGCATAAGGCTGGAATGACTAAGAGGAAGCAGAACATCGCCCCCTCACACCCACAAATTCTGAACTATTCAGTTCAGGACATATGCTTTCAGAAAAATGCAAAAGGGGCAAGCATCCTCTGTAAGACAAGATATTTTGAGAGGTATCATATCAACAAACTCAAACTGAGTTCACAGACATGAAGTACCTTACTGTAGGAAGGTGTCAAAAACTCAATTAAGTGTTGAATTCTAGTACCTTCTGCATGCCAGACAGGTTGAAAAAATGGGTTATAAT